TATTTTTTCAGTAGGGAAAAGGGGGTGACATTTAGCAATGCTTGAGGGTGTGCTTAGAAATTGGGCCTGAGTTGGGCCTAGGCAAAATTTTGCATATTGGACTCATTTTGCTCCTAATTTTTCATAGATTTGATTTAGCTAGGTCTCATCATCATATGATGAACCTAACTAAACCAAATCAAGGATTTTCAAATTAAATCATGGAGCATTTTGAGCCAAAGGCCGCCTAGCCCTTCCTTTCCTCTTTGGCCGAAATTTCAAGCATTCCTTCTTGAGTTTTGAAGCTTGTCTTGCAAGCTTCTAAACTCAAGCAAGGTAAGCTTACCTTACCATGGTTCTTAAGTGAACCATGGTCAAGGTTAGCTTCTCCTGCAAGCTAGCTAAACCGTAGGGAGTTAAGTACACCTTACCATGGTTCCTAGTGAACCATGGTTAAGGTTAACTTCTCCTAGAAGCTACCTCTACCCTATATATTTGTAACTCCTTCATTTGTAATCACTTTTGAACATTTGAGAAATAAAATTCTGTTTTCTCTCTCAAGAGTCCCTCTCCAAAACCGAATGAGAACCTTCTCTCCTAGGTTTTCTAGCAAAGTTTACATTGAGGATATGTTTGTGTTTTCTTTCGACTCGACCATTTTGTTGGGGTGTTCTTGTACATGAAGTCTGAAAAACAATCCCACGATTAAGAAAAATATTATTTAGGCATATAAATTCCGTTCCGTTATCACTCTGCGAGAGTTTTAAGAAAAAACTTTTAAGAAAGGATGGGCATTGTGTGACGGAGCTGCGGAGTGAAAGAAGCAAAAATTCAAAACAAGGTTGCGTGACGGAGTTGCAGAGTTTCTCCCTTTGTCAATATTCGAAACTATTGGAAGATGAGTTCATAGGACCTCTCTTAGGTATTTTCAATCCAAATCTAAATCTCTATTCATTCGTCTTTTTTATTCATGGTTGATTTTAAATACGGAACACTCACTTCACCGATCTCATAAATCTCTTAGGTATTTTCAATCTGAATCTAAATCTCTCTTAGGTATTTTTTTTATTGTTTTATAGATTCACCATTTCAGAATTTGTCCAATTTCAAGGTCAATCTGCCGTTTCTGTTGATACAGTAAAAGTTATAGTCTACAGGTAATTTTTGTTTATAGTTGTAACCTTATCACTATCATTTTGGTTGTTAGATTTGAATTTGGTAGCATTCTATTTTTGAATCCAAAAAGATAACTCTGTAGCAGATTTGCCATGTGTTTGAATAACTTGGAATCTCAACGTGGCATGGTTAGGTGATGATAGGGAATGGCAAGAGAGGTTTGCATTGCATTCAGGCAAGCGGTATGTTGTATAAATGTGGTAACTGCACGTTCATAAAAGATCTTGGTTTTATTTTTTTAAGTGTGTCATTATCTTCTGAAGCTGGGTGTCTGGCTCATTGTTTGTACCGTTAGATTTATTTTGTTGATTGTTGCCTTCTGAGTGAAGTTTGATCTTTAGCTTAGAAATTATGTTCTAAATCCTTTTGCTGATTTAACCATCTTGACAAGTCCTATCATCGAATACCTCATAATGTTTTGGAAAACAAATATTTGTATTATAGTAGTGGATTTAATTGGAAGTAGTGTAGCTCTAAATATTTTTTCCAAGGATATCCCAAGTATTCTATTTCTTCGCTTAGATATTATAAGTCTCGAGACTGTGAAGGTATTTGTTAGGTCCTATAACCCAATCCAATGAGCTCAATTTTCAATGATAAAATAGGCCACAATGGTAGAACTGTAGAAGAAAGATCCGAATGTCACAAATTCCATAGTTTAACCCAGGTCATTATCATTTTCCACCATATTCTAAGGACTAAAGTTTCTCTTGGCCTTTCAAGTTTTGATGTTATGCTATAACAATGACCTCAACAGTGTGCCTCAGACATTTCATTCCAAAGGAAGAAGTTTTTTTTCTCAACACGGACTGAAATAAAATATTATCTGTCACTTTAAGAAAATAATTTGTCTGATCCTCTTCATGGCCTATAAATTTTTGTGTTGCTTGCAGGTTTGTGGATTCGATCTCTTGAGAAGTGAGAGACGTTCATATGTTTGTGATGTGAATGGATGGAGCTTTGTTAAAAACTCATACAAGTAAATTTTGTAATTAGATTTTTTTTGCATTGCGTTTTTTGATATCAGCAGCAGGGTTCAAAATACTTAAATAGTTATTCACGTTCTTTCTATAAATATAAAATCATAGGTTCAGTTCTTCCCAATTTGATATATATTTGATTTGGAGATATTATAATTGTGCCCTTTTATCCTTAGCAAATATTTGAAAGGATAGATACTCCAAGAGGTCAAGCTGTCAGTTTTGTTGATCCTGTATACTCAGTGGACTCTTCAAATTCAGAGTTTTCATCTAGCATTTTACGGTTTTCATACAGCTCATTAAGGAATCCTTCTTCAGTATATGATTATGATATGAGCACAGGAATTTCAGTTTTGAAGAAGATTGACTCAGTAAGTTAAAATGGGCATTTAAACTCCTTTAAGATGTTTTAATAGTTTGTTATGTAAATTTCTTGGTTCTATGCATGACTTACTGTTCTTGTTTGCTGAAGTGTTCCTTGCTGGGTATCACATAAATTTGACCTTTTGCTATGTTATGCATGACCCATGCTTCTAAAATATTTCATGTTGTCTGGATTTGTTTTGTTAATTCGAACACAGGGACTAAATTGATTGATGGTTTGATTTGGTAAAGCTAAGAAAAATTAACCTGTAACACTTCCAAGGATCAGATAGATAGATAATAGTCAATTATTTTCTCCACTATGTTTAGATTCGGTTTTTATTGTTTGTGACTTACCTTAATTACCTTTCATTTTTATAACAATAATTTTTTCATACTATTTTTCAGTTTATTATATTTTATGGATAAGAGTTGGATTTCTGATCAATCTCAAGTTAATGGGAAGTATATTAGGGGGGTTTTACATTTTCTTGATTTTGCATTTGAAAAATCATCTAATGTCTTCACATATTTCTTTGCCTTTGACTTATTTCAAGGCTCTTAGAGACATTCTTTTTCCTTTTTTGTCTTACTGTTCATTTTCCTCAAAAATGTGCAGCTTTTTCTCATGCTCTCTTAGCTTTCCAAAGAGAGTTGCAAGGGTCAATGAAGTTAAGTCCTTTGATTCTTCTATTGCAGTAACCTTTGCTTGCCAAGATCTATCCAAGCATTGTAGCACTTTCAAATTTAGTTCTTCTTCTTCACATTCCCTGCCAAGATCAACAAGGTGATTTATCAAATGTGTAAACCTTTTTTGAAAATCAGAAATTGATTCACCATGATTCATTTTCAACAATTCATATTCCCTTGTAAGAGTATGCTTTCTAGATCTTTTTACATCACTTGTTCCTTCATGAGTAACTTGTAAAGTGTCCCACATTTCTTTAGCAGACTTGCATTGAGAAATTTTAAAAAATTCATCAACTGACAATGCAGATGTTATGATGTTCTTTGTTCTGTAGTCATATTGAGCTCTCTTTTTCTCATCATCACTCCTCTCACTCCAATGTTTTTCTTTCTTTTCATCATCATCTTTGGTCATAGGGATATAGGGTCCATTTTTTATTACATCTCACACAGCAATATCAATTGCTTCAATGAAAATTCTCATCCTAATTTTCCAATAGACATAGTTTTCACCATTGAAAACAGGAGGTCTATGAATAGACACACCCTCACCATAAGGTAGGTTTTTGTTGACCATTTTTGAAATCTTGATTAACACTAAAGAACCTTGCTCTGATACCAATTGTTAGAAAAGAATGGCTCAATCCAAGAGGGGGGTGAATTGGATTCTATGACATTGAAATTATTTTTTTCTTCATAGTTCTAAGGATCTTTATTTCAACTTAAACTTTTCTAATATGAATTCTCAAAGAAGTTCCTTGAAAGGATTGCCAATGGGAATGAGTCCTATATGCTTTCTTGATTAATCTTGATTAAGTTCAATGTTAAGAACACTTAATATGCAACACCTTGGTTCAGTTTAACACAATGTTTTGCATACAAAATTATTAATCAAGATCATCCACTTTAATACTCAACCAAGATTTTGCTCAATGAAAAAGATAAGAGTGGGAGAGAAGAATGCACAAGTATTTTATCTTGGTTCAACCACTCCACATGTGACCTACATCTAGTCCTCAATCATAATCTGATCAAGATTTGTTCCACTATCTCAATGAAGAAGTTTTACAAGCATACCACACATGCATATACTTCTACATTCAAGATAACCACTTTCTTGCCCCCAAGAAAGCACTTCTTGTAGAAACCCACTACAAGAATTCCTTACCACTTGAGACACCTACTCAAGATTTCCCTTACACTTTACACAA